AAATGTTATATATATATATATATATATATATATATATATATATATATATAGGCCTATATGTGTATGTATATATATATAAAACATTACAATATAACATTTCTGTAATCTATATAACCTACCAGTCAACAGTTTTTGAACAGTAAGATTTTTAATGTTTTATAAAGAAGTCTCTTCTGCTCACTCATATTTGATCCAAAGTACAGCAAAAGCAGTAATGTTGTGAAATATTTTTACTATTTAAAATAACTGCTTTCTATTTGAATATATTTTAAAATGATTGCTGTGATCAAAGCTGAATTTTCAGCATCAGAATCAGAATATCAGAATGATTTCTGAAGGATTAGTGTGATTGGAGTAATGATGCAAGAAATTTTGCTTTGAAATCACTATAAATTACATTTTAAAATATATTCAAATAGAAAACAGTTATTTGAAATAGCCTAGTAAAAATATTTAAAAATGTTACTGTTTTGCTGTACTTTGGAACAAATAAATGCAGGCTTAGTGAACAGAAGAGACTTCTTTAAAAAAACATGAACAATCTTACTGTTCAAAAAATTTTGACTGGTAGTGTATTGTCAACTTTAATTTTTCTCTAATTTCTAGCTTTTAATTGGCTTAGAAATCAGATAACTGCTGGACAATAACCAATAATAATGATTTGCTTATATATTACAAACACTTTTTTTAATCACATAAGGCAGAATAGTTTCTATACTGTAATAAATGCTATGTCAGTTAGCATTTGTTCATATACTTTATTTATTACCTGGAGATGACTTGACAAATACAAATAAACCATAATGTCAATCCCATACCATACCGCAATCGTATGTTTAAAGTCTTCATGTTTCCAAACGTTTCTGTTTTTCTGAAAACAACTGTTTTCATACAGCAATAGCTGGACGCTTTTGTCCATATTAGGAATTTCCTCATACGACTTTCTGCGGGAGAGTGCTCTCCGGCTTCGAGTATGAATGAAACATACACTGCACGGAGTGTTTAGCGCTTCGTGATGTTCATCTTGCCTTATTCTGGGTCCGAATAAAACATCAGATCATGCACAGACTATCCTGTCTCTTTGAATATTTATTCACACCGGCTCTTGAAAACCTCTATGCGAACACACTTGCCCGAAAAAGTGCGGGGGACAAATTTACATGATATTAAATGTGGGGGGGACACAGGTTTACAAGTTTTTCAAGTTTTTCCACGTTTTCCTGCGTTTTTCAATCAACTTCTTGACTTTTGCCCACTTATGAACAACACATTTTCGTACACGATAAAACCTCCTTGTGGTTTCTCGGTTTGGCCAATTTAAGCATCCATAAACAACGCAAAACACTGGCATTTTGAGTTTCTGCTAGTGATTTCAATGGAGAGAAAAATCACTTCCTGCCCTCCAGCTGCATTTCGCGCGTCATCAGTGACGTCATGTGCAAACAACCTATTGCCGTCAAAGCCACGGCCCCTGAACGCATTTACGCTCACAGACCAGAGACAACATTACTACAATAGGCTACATCAGCTGTTCCCAATTCCAGCCCATGTTCCGAAGTGAAGTAAACTTCAACAGATTTCCCCTGCTCAGGGAGTAGGGAGCAATGAACACTGTGTAGGGATCATATCGATCGGAACACAGTTCATGCACGTAGCTTACTTCGAAACGAGCTGGCGCGAGGACTGGATTAACCGCTGGGCTACATCATGTGTCATTCACCGGTGAGAAATCTTTAAAAGTACTACAATACCAGAAAGGAAGATCAGATTGTTGATGTTTGCCTGCCATCCTCGCTCTGTCTGCAGTCTGCACAGTGTGCGTGAACGCGCTGATGACGTATCCTGTCTGCGCGAACAGGGTGCGCAGAGGTATGCTAATACATACTCGGATCAAGCATTTTGATTGGACGAACATTTCTTGATCCTACGCCTTCCACAGAATATTTAAATACAGACAAATACATTTAGACCACTTAACTGAATGATTGCTATCGGGATGTGAAGTGACTTTCAACCAGCATAACAAAAAATGTTTCTGAAGACAATCACCTATTGCACCTTTAACCATGGTATTTGTACAACTGTGGTTATACAAATGGTAATCAATACAACAACAACAACAAAATACATGGTTACTTTTCGTTTTTTTGCGGTAATTTTGGCATTGTTGGGGTTCTCCCGTTGAGGTCTGTACTTGCATTTCTGTATTTGGTTGTGTTATGAGCATTTGCAGCGCGTTTCTGTATATCAGAATCAGAATCAGAATGAGCTTTATTGCCAGGTATGTTTACACATACGAGGAATTTGTTTTAGTGACAGAAGCTTCCACAGTGTAACAGAATGACAGTGACAGAACAAAAAAACACAGATAATAAAAATAAGAAATAAAAAATAGAACAAGTAAAATAAGGAATACAAAATATACAAATCGACAATTGTATGTACAGGTATAGAACAATAGACAGTTGTATGTACAGGTATATTATGTGCAAATTGAAATGTAGACTGAGTATGTGTGTTAGATTAATAAGTGTATGAGTGAATAAATAGTGTGTGTTTCACAGTTATTGTCAAGTGTTCATGAGATGGATGACCTGAGGGAAGAAACTGTTCCTGTGTCTGGCCGTTCTGGTGCTCAATGCTCTGTAGCGTTGATCAGATGGCAACAGTTCAAAGAGGGAGTGTGCTGGATGTGAGGGGTCCATAGTGATTTTGCCAGCCCTTTTGCTCACTCTGGATGAGTACAGTTCTTGAAGAGAAGGGAGGGTTGTACCAATGATTCGCTCAGCAGTCCGGACTACCCTCTGTAGTCTTCTGAGGTCAGATTTGGTAGCTGAGCTGAACCAGACAGTTATAGAAGTGCAGAGGACAGATTCAATGATGGCGGAGTAGAACTGTTTCAGCAGCTCCTATGACAGGTTGAACTTCCTCAGCTGGCGAAGGAAGTACAACCTCTGCTGGGCCTTTTTAACAATGAAGTCTATGTGAGTGTCCCACTTCAGGTCCTGAGAGATTGTGGTGCCCAGGAACCTGAATGACTCCACTGCAGTCACAGTGCTGTCCATGATGGTGAGTGCAGGGGGGTTTCTCCTGAAGTCCACGGTCATCTCCACAGTTTTGAGTGAGTTGAGCTCCAGGTTGTTGAGACAGCACCAGACAGCCAGCTCTTTAACCTCCTGACTGTAAGCAGACTCGTCACCGTCCTGAATGAGGCCGATGAGTGTGGTGTCGTCTACAAACTGGAGGAGCTTGACAGAGGGGTCTTTAGAGGTGCAGTGGGGAGAGGACGCAGCCCTGAGGAGCTCCAGTGCTGATCGTACGGGTGCTGGATGTGTATTTTCCCAGCCTCACTAGCTGCTGTCTGTCTGTCAGGAAGCTGTTGATCCACTGACAAATGGAGGTGGGCACGGAGAGCTGAGATAGTTTGAGCAGGAGGAGGTTTGGGATGATAGTGTTAAAGGCCGAGCTGAAGTCCACGAACAGGATCCACACATAAGTCCCTGGTCTGTCTAGATGTTGCAGAACATAATGCAGTCCCATGTTGACTGCATCATCCACAGACCTGTTTGCTCTGTAGGCAAACTGAAGAGGATCCAGCAAGGGTCCAGTGATGTCCTTCAGGTGGGCCAGCACCAGTTTTTCAAAAGACTTCATGACCACAGATGTTAGATCCACAGGCCTGTAGTCATTAAGTCCTGTAATTTTGGATTTCTTTTTGACGGGATGATGGTGGAGCGTTTACATTTACATTTAGTCATTTAGCAGACGCTTTTATCCAAAGCGACTTACAATTGGGGGATACATAAAGCGATTCTTCTTAAGAGAGGCAAACAGACACAAGAAGTGGTTGTAATACCAAGTTATTAGACATTGTTCAAATAAGTACAAGCTAGAAAGAGAAGGAATAAATAAAGAGAGTTTTTTTTTATTTTTATTTTTTTTATGATGAAGTCAAGTAGCTTCGAAAGAGATGAGTTTTCAGCTGTCGCTTAGGTTTAGCTGATTTCAGTTTCTGCCTGTAGGTCGGTATAAGATGAACCAGATAGTGATCAGAGAGCCCCAAAGCTGCCCGTGGAACAGAGTGATGTGCATTCTTTATTGTGGTATAACAGTGATCCAATATATTACTGTCTCTGGTGGGACATGTGATGTGCTGTCTGTATTTTGGCAGTTCACGGGAGAGATTTGCTTTATTAAAGTCCCCGAGAATGATTAAAACAGTGTCCGGGTGTTGTTGTTCTGTCTCTGTGATCTGATCAGCGAGTTTCTGTAAAGCGGAGCTCACGTGCACTTGCGGAAGAATGTACACACTTACGAGAATGAACGAGTGAAACTCCCGCGGCGAGTAGAAAGGCTTACAGTTAATGAAGAGCACTTCTAGATCTGAACAGCACATCTTCTTTAACACAGCTACATCTGTACACCACCTCTCACTGATGTAAAAGCATGTCCCGCCGCCGCGTGATTTCGCCGTTGATTCTGCGTCGCGGTCCGCTCTGAACAGCTGAAAGGAGGTTCGCCAGATGGATGCTAGGCAACGGCGTTCTGAATCTGCGCTCTCTCTGAGCTTCACGAGTGCGCCGGCTCTCATCCCCCGTCTGCTCGTCCTGAAGTGCTTGATCAGCGCCGCAGCTCCCCCGACTACAATGTCCAGCAACACATCAGAATAATCGAAAACCGGTGAAATATCGGGTGGTGTGTACTTCCGAATGTCCAGCAATTTGTCTCTGGTGAAACTGATTGCAGGGATATAACTAAAGACAGGACAAACTAACAAAAACATAAAAACAACTGCGGAGCATGCCACGGAGGCAGCCATCAGCGTCGGCGCCATCGCGAAGGAGAATTTGGTTGTGTTGTGAGCATTTGCAGCGCATTTCTTTATTTGTTTGTCTTGTGAATATTTGCAGGGGTTGTTTTTATTTGTTTGTTTGTGTTGTGAGCATTTGCAGCGTGTTTTTGTGTTTGATTGTGTTGCGAGTATTAATTTGCTGGTGATTTTTCTATTTGCATGAGTTTTCTGAAGTTCTCAGCATGTTGAGCTCCCTCGGCCACCGTAATTATGTGATATATGTGAGTTTGATGATTTTGTGATGTGTATAACCGGTGTGCAAATGTGTGGGTTTTTAATATGCAGAAAATGAAGTCCACAATACCAAGAAGAAAAACCGCTGTTATTAAAGCTTTCAGCAAAACCAGACAAAGGTACGCACAAACACACACACATACATATTCCCAAAAATACACACATACCCGATTGCATTTTTTTTTAAATGGGCATTTAGAATTGATAATGAATGCAAAAAGTCAAGTCAAGTCACCTTTATTTATATAGAGCTTTTAACAATACAGATTGTGTCAAAGCAACTGTACAGCATTAAATAGGAAAATAGTATGTCAATAATGCAAAATGACAATAGTAAACACTCGATTTTCAGTAGTTCATCATTGAATTCAGTGATGTCATCATCCAGCTCAGTTCAGTTTAAGTAGTATCTGTGCAATCAAGTCAACGATATCGCTGGAAATTAAGTGTCCCCAACTAAGCAAGCCAGAGGCGGGGCAAGGAACCAAAACTCCATCGGTGACAGAATGGAGAAAAAACCTTGGGAGAAGCCAGGCTCAGTCAGGGGGCCAGTTCAGTTCAGACCAGCAGTTCAATTCCAGGCTGCAGCAAAGTCACATTGTGCAGAGGACTCAACTGGTTCCTGTGGTCTTGTCCTGGTGGCCGTCTAGGAGACAAGGTCTTCACTGGGGAAGACCAGTTGTCCTGATCTCCACTGACATTCAGGACTGTAGAGGTCCTCTCTAGGTGCTGATCCACCATCTGGGCTGGATATGTACTGGATCCGGGTGACTGCAGTGACCATCTGATCTGGATACAGACTGAATCTGGTGGCTATGGTGGCCTCAGAATAAGAAAGAAACAGACTAATATTAGCGTAGATGCCATTCTTCTAACAATGTAGCAAGTACATCGGGTGTTATGGGAAGTGTTTCCGGTTCCGGTTGTCCACACGCACACACACACACACACCCACACATCTCATTTTTCTTTCCCTGTGCCACTGGTTCCTCCTTCTTCAGACTTTAACTGATTCCAAGCAGAAAATCAAAATGCCTCTTTTGGCACTTTGTTCCTCACTGAATATCTGATCTGTGTGTGTGTCAGAGCTTCATTGAATCAAACATAATCACTTGCTCGGCATGTCTTTCAAAAATAACTTTATATCACAAAGTTCACAGTGTCAGAGATGTTTCTGACTTTGGTGGAAACTGGCTACATGTCTAACCTTTAAAGGCTCAATTTGTAAAATAATGGATTATTATTTTTTATAAGTCTAGGGCTGTGTGTGTCTATGTCTGGTCCAGTCTGGTCAATTTGATCCAAAGAAAAAATAGTTTTTCATGCTTTAAAAATAAATATAAAATCTAGTGAGGTTTATTCCCAAATAAGTCTTATTATCGTAACACAAATTTGTTTCTAAAGCAGATGTATATTGTTGAAGGATATATACTAGTGCAAACCAAGACAAAAATACTTAAAGGGAATTTTTTTTAATTTATTTTTTTATTCACACTGTAAAGCACGCTCGCACACACTCACACTGGCTGCTTATATCTGACCAATCCCTTGGTATTGGCTAGAGGACACACTCTGCCTTATATAGGCAGGAATGCAACAACAGACACACACACATTAACAAGAAAGCTGGCAACGTGCGTCATTCACATTACAAGCAAGAAGAGAGATAGAGGCAAGATGCCAAGACAAAAGGATGACTAAATACAACACAAAGAAATAATACTTTTATTTTAATCTACTTATTTGTATCTAGTGTCAGAAATCTATTAGTTTGGAATACGAATTTTCTGGAAGATAACCAGTTAATCTCGTAGATAAACTAGAAATATGCAGCACACGTCTGCAGGTTTACTTGTTTCTGCAGCTGCAATCAACACCTTTTGTCATGAATCTGTGATTCATGACAAAAGTGATATGATCCAGGCTGAATTATAGCATTTATCAGGAGAAATATTTGTCGTAAAATTACTGGGCTGCAGGTTAGATGAAAGCATATAAGGCATATGAAAGCGAAACAGGCTGGAGTTGAAGTGTTCATGTGTAGAATTATGTCAAATTGACTTGTAGAAAATGCATTGAATGCATATTTACATTTATATGCCATCTTTTCCCCAGATATGTTATACTTTATACGCCAGATTTACTTATGACAAATGAGTTTTCATATGGATGATTGATAACTCTATAATTTATACTTGTCTTGCAGTAGAAGTTACAGGCTCACTTGAAACTTAAACAGGAACACCAATACAGGAACAGGTGTTTTCTTCACTAATGTAATATTCAGCTCGTTGTCGTGGCAATGAAGTACACAGGTTCTGTAGGGAGAGGTTATCCTTCAGCGAAAATGGTTTCTTTATGCTCAAAATAAAAAAACATTTCTGAATGCGCCTACGTGCTCAGAATATTACAGCTTTTCTGCACCAAGTAAACCTTGTCTCATGTAAGCCTTTCACAAACCTTTTTACACTTTAGCTGTTTAGATTAGGAAGTATTCCATCAATGATTATCAAGGAATGCATAAAACATGTAAACATTATTATTAATATTTTGCAGTCTGTTTTAATCCCAGTTCAAGGGAAATGCAGTATTTGTATGTACTGTAAATAGAGAGATCAAACTCTGCATCCCTTTCCAACATGAAAGAATATCTTCTATACAAGGACAAACTGAATAAAACATTATCACATAAACAAATGGCATGTTTTATTTAATATATTTAATAATATGCTCACAAGATATAATAATATAATAACATCAGTCACAAGAGCAACACTACTGTTAGGTAAAGAAAGAAATACATTTTGTTAAAAAAATAACATTGCAGACTTTACCTCGAGAAACATACTGTAATATAAAAATGCGTAACTGCATTTCATAAGCATCATGACCTGTGATCTTTGTAATATGTAAGGGCTCATGTACAGACATTCTTTGATGTGAAGTGGTTTACTGCTGTTTATGCTTTAGTGAATTAAGCCAGTAATTAAACTTCACACTGTTCCTGTTAGTAGTGTGAAAACCATCTGTTCTCTTTATTGTGATGATTATATATGGAGAAAGCGATCAAAAATCATTCTCTTTATAATCTCTGCAGACGTCGTTAGATCTGCGTGAGTGTTAGTGAATTGATTTCTGTATTTTCACTAAAACTCCTGTTATAATCACAGCTGCTCAAGGAATCTCTTATTTTCAGTGTTTCACTGTTGTAGGTATGGTGAAAGTATTCATGAGATTGTAGAAATCCCAATGCAATGAGGAGATCACTGCATTGGGTGCTCAGTAGATATTACTTTGTTTGGCTACAGTGCAGCGCTGCAAACCTTGATACAGCGGGAGTCTGAATAAAATGCTATCCACGTTTTTCTTCCCATAAGAGTGGGCATGGCCATTTGTAAATTCTATGGGTCTAGCTTCCGGTCTCATCTGCGTCCAGCTACTTTTAGCTGTATAATTCAGCTCGTTTTGCTGCTTGATATTGAAAATTGGTGTGTCTTACCATATTATTTGAATGTATTATCTTGATTATGAACACACTGGTTTGTAGTGCAAACAGTTTTACCGTTTACTGCATGTTGTTATTCTTCTCATTATTTCCCTATAGCGGCAAATGAACCGGAAGTCTTGCCCATAGGAGCATTGAAGAAAAAGGTGGATAATCAGCTTTTTTCACATTTGACCCTTCGCAAAGACCCGCCCCCCCCCTTAGTTACTGTTGCTATGTCCGACAAGCCATGGCGCTCTCATGTCACCCACAATGTTCTCATATAGTGAAAAATACATTGCGGAGCAGAGACGACACTGACCATGCACTGACAGATAAGACCAAGCCTATTTTTGGTATGAATGTGTCAGCTTTCAAATTTCGTAAGAAATTCAAACAATAAATACCATTTTGTGGCTCTTTAATGTCTCTCGTTATAGCGCGAAATAAACATCAATGAACATCAGAAGGTATCTTGTTTTAACCGCGTAAAGAAGTCAGTACACCATTTTTCAAGTTCAAGTCCACTGACATTAATCTACTCTCTTGTCCGGTTTGTTTTTTGGACAAAAATGGCAGATTCAGCGTTATGACTGGTCAGATCACCTGTCAATCAAACTCCCTGTGAAGGGTCAAATAGCAAATCTTGGCGGCTGTTATTGTAAAATCACAGTAAAATTTTTCGAGAGAGTTCCATATAGGATGTTCATTTCAGAAAAAAAAGATTATAAATCGCACCCCAAGCAACATTATAAAATTATTAAAATAATGTATTTCACCACCTCTTTAAAGAGAATAGTTAGTGATGTTTTTTTTTAGCAAGCTGATAATAGTGAGGAGAAAATACAACACACATACTAGTACTCAACTGTTCTTGAAGGCATACATGTTACTAGGGAGGAGAGACATTTGTTTTTAAACAAAATACTATATATATAGATTTGGGTTTGCTGTTAAAATCAAGGGATGTCAATAAAACCAAAAATATGATAAATTGCTTATCTCATGATTTTTACCAGTAGCGCAGTGACACAAAATTCAGTTTATTTATAATTTTTTTTTGCATTCCACATATTTAATAATCTAAAATAAAAGTCAGTATGGTAACTTTTGACATTTCTGTATGAAAATGAATGTTCCTCATCGCTATTGTGATTTTAACCTGTTCACTCTTCTGCAGTGAAGAGTATGGGGCATGCAATGTATCTCAAAATGCAGTGCTGTTGATGGAAGCCCATGCTCACCTTTCCATCGGCTTGCAGTCAAGAGAGAGACTTCTGCTGCTTTTCACAGATTCGCTCATCATCGCCAAAACTAAGTATGTTTCAGTGGGTGTGAATATGTCTATTAATATGTACGAAATGTAAGACATCTGTCTCTCTAAGAGTGGATGTGTATGCATTGTGTGTGTTTCATGTTACAGGTCTCTGTATCTAAAGCTGAAGGCTCGTGTTAGCCTCTCGGACATATGGCTGGCATCATGTGTCCACTGCATCACAGACAGAAAGCTCGCCTCCAAGAACTCATTTGTGATTGGCTGGCCGACCACCAACTATGTCGTCACTTACAGGTAGTCTTTGAAAAACAATTTAAATAGGACATAAATGTCAAACATCTGAGATCTTGGCATACCAAACCAGACTGATATGGTCATTGTATGTCATTCAGACAAACGGCACTGAAAAATTCTAAACTGTTTATGAGTTTGAGATGAAGCAGCCCTTCTTAAAAAAAAAATAAGAAATATTCTGCAGTGGAAGGGAAGGGATAATGGATGTGTTAAAGCTTTAGGCACTTCAAGTGTGCTGAGGAAAATAATTAAATTGAGATCCACCCACTCAACTGCTACTGATTTGATCTTAAAACACTGTGTGATAAGGTGCAGCTTTTCTCATGTGAAGTTTAGATTATCTGGTATAAATGCACACAGGCGCTCTCTTTCAAGCTCAGTTCGGCACGCTGTCCTTCACATTGCTAATTCGACTTCTTATTAACCTAATTTTTAAGTCCTTAATTTGACATTGTTGTAGAGATAAAAGTAGGTCGAAACCCTTGAAATGGGAAGCACAAAGTATGCTGCAAATTACAGCATAAAAAAACAAGATTGAGTATGCTATTAGTTATTTAATATCACAAAGACGGTGTAGTGATGACCTTTTTGATTGTTCCTCTAATGTATACTGCCTCAAATACTATACGGCATAGTGAACAAATTATGTAGTAATAAAAAGATTCTGGGGACGGATTTTTAAAAAAAATAACACTGTAACACCTGTCAGCATGTGTTCATCATGAAACTAATATCAGATAGACAGGAAAGAAAGTCTCATGTGCAATTGTTTGACAGCGTTCACTGTGACGTCGAAAACCCATAACATAAGGTTTTAACCTCCTCAAGATAGGGTATCCAGTGAATGCATAAAAACCAGAATGTGGGATCTAGACAAGAAAAGAATGAGTCTGGTGAGTGAGATTAAAAGGATTTCTATCTTTTATTCCACATATAAATTCAAGTACATGAACAAAGGGTACATACAAAGGGCCACTTCAAGGAAGTCATTTTAGTATGGTGATGTGAAATGAATGGTGAGCCCTCACGATTAGTTTTGAAGCTAGCATTCATTTTAAAGCTAGAATTTGACTTAATGTGTAAACAAGAAGTTGTTTTGTTTTGTTTAATATACAACATTACACACATTTTTGTTATGCATTTCATACGAAGATTAAATAAGTAGGTAGGTAGTAGTAGGTATAGTAGATATGTTTGGTAAATGTGATTACCTACAGTGTCCACGGATGAGTATAGTTTTATAAGACTGAGAGCAGAGAAAGAACACACACACACACTATACAAAGCAATTGTAAAAACGTAATTACAAAATGCATATTTATGTGTAACAACTGTTTTAACCGCAGTAATAATAGCTTCATGTTGCAAGAGCACAGTGCCGCATTGTCCTGGGAACGTTGTAGGTGAAGATCATTAGGAAATTACATTTCATTGTTCCTTTTGCCTAGTTTGGTCCAATCTACATTATGAGACACCTTTGGCCTGCTCCTTCCAAAGTGTTAATTTCAAGGGCTCTGCCTTTCAGAGTGAGTAAGGTATAGAGATGGTCACTTCTGATTGGAATTTGCCCAACAATCCATAAATGCACAGAACAAATCCTCACACACGTAATTTACAAATGCATGGACCCGAAGGGAAAACTGAATCACAGCCATTTTCAGAACTGTATGCACTGTATGTCAATTCACCAGTACAATTTAGATCTATCTACAAAAGTGAAGAATACGAAGTTTTTGAAAGGTGACATTACTTTGCACAAGATTACTGGGAGCTGGGGAGGTCAGCTGATGTGAGAGAGAAAAGAGATTCTATGACACATACACATGCTTTCAAAAGAAAATGACAAGCAACAAGTATAGAATCATGCTTGTTCACTTTTGCTTTTAGGACTGTTTGAGGGGAGTGTTTTTTTGTCATCGTTTTGCCATTGTGCTGTTTACAATATGTCCTCCATAGGCTGGAGTGATGTTGATGTTTGTCATGATTATTTATTTTGTGAAACAAAAAAGATGTAATGTAATATGAAACACACGTCTACATGGATGTAAGATTGGACCAAATAGTGAAATGAGTCACAAGCTCTACAAACCTATATCACATGCAAACCACACTCATGAGTATCAGACCTCAGTGCCATTGGTTATTATCTTATCATTCAGATGCATCTATCTGAAAATCTCTTTAGCATGTAAATTTCAAGCACTTTGTGAATGGGAAAATTGAAATGAAATCTAACCCTCTCTCTCTCTCTCTTTATACCTGTCCTCCCAAACCTAAGCTCATCCGAAGCAAAGGAAAGATGGTTACATGCTCTTCAGTGGTAAGGAAATTAAAAAACAAATCAAAAGATCACATCCATAACCTTCTATAATGCATCACAATAAGAGTTTCCTTTCAAAATGTAGGTGTTCCAGCTGTGATTTCTGTTGTCAATTTTCTTGACTGTTCCATGACTTTGTATCTGTGACAAGCTTTTGCATTTGTTGTTGTTTGTTCTTCAGGCACACCTGCAGAGCCAGGCAAAAAGTCTTGCCAAATGCCATTCTTCTCTACGTCTTGCTGATTTGCCGTCCAGATGACAACAGCTCAGCGGTACACAAACGCTTTTTTAATTTAATTTGGAGCCGAGCCACTCCCAGTCCTCTGAGAACTAAATTAATGTCTCTGTTTACAAGTGGAAGCTATTTGTACTCTAGCCTGAAGCTTTTCATTGTGAGTTGATGCTCAATGTTTTTGCTTGTTTACATGCTGTTGGCTGTTAAGACCATTGCTGTGGCAGTGGACGTGGGCACGACCGCAGAAAATGTGGTTCAGTACATCATACAGCAGTGCAAACTATTGGTAAGTGATCCTTAAAAGCCTCTCGTTGAGAGTGTAGTGTAATATATGCTATTTATCCTCTTTAAAGCACAGCTGAGTACAAGGGACACATGCTTTTTCTTTGCCCCTGATATCATCTTGTATCTTGGTGTATTTGACTACCTGGCCAGGCAATGTGGTTCTATAATTGTATGTACATCATTCAGTTGCTCTCTGACCCGTAACTCTATATTGTGCCAAGTTTGTCCATTGGCATTTCCTGTGTTTGATAACAGCCACTTCCTCTTTCCTGTCTCTTTCCAAAACATAATGACAACTTCCTGTGTGTAGGGTGAAGTCTCTGACTACCAGCTGTGTGTAAACTATGAGAAAGAAGAGGAAACATACCCCCTTATTGGTGATCACACACACACACACACACACACACACATCAACTTAATCTAAATAGGGACATTGCATATAGACAATTTATAGCTAGTTATAGATACTTTAAACTAACTTGTGAAAGATTCTGTCAGGTTTAGCTTACTATTTTTTGGCTACACTTTATTTTAAGGTGTCCTTGTTACAGTGTAATTATACATTTAAGTAATGAGTAATATTAATTAACTGCATGCATTTACTATATGGTTAGGGTTAGGATTAGGGTTACTTGCATGTAATTATACATAATTTATTGTTATTATAATAGTAAGTACATGTAACAGATGTAACAAGGACACCTTAAAATGAAGTGTTACCCTATTTTCTGTCCCCAAAATATTAAGTACAGTAGGTACACACACAAACATACATACAGTATGAAGATACTTTTTAAAGCAATTGTGAACTCATGGTAGATCAGGGGTGGCAAACTAATCTTAGTTTTTTTTTGGATTGGTAAACATGTTTCCTTATGTGTGCCAATTTTTTAATTTGTACCCATGCAGGGTTCAACAAATTTCATTCACCAGAGGCCTTTAGATTACATATAAAATTGATAATTAGGGAACAACTATTCAATCTAATAGTATGAATAAGCCATCTAAACCGAACATTACTACAAAGTTTAGCCTAAAAAATATGTATAGTTTATTTTAATTACAAGGCATGCTTCTCAGACAAACTCAGCATCAAATAAATATATCATCATGGTTGAGAAAAATGCAGAACTGAAGAATTTCCTCCCTTTCAGTCCATGACTTGGGATCTGAATTTAATTGTCTGTCTGTCTGCCATCAACATTCAGAGTTTGTCTTGACAAACTTTGCATTTCTTTTGTGAAATTCACTTTTTGCTTAGAATATTTTCTGTCTCTCTCTGTTGTTGTTATGCCCCCCAAAATTTTGTTTTTAGTTTGCCAGTTGTGTCTCTTACAGTCAGTCTAGTTTCAGCTATTTACAGATGTCATGCATAATTAAAAGAGTATTTACAACGTTTTTCTGTGGCTAAAATGGTATATTATACCCCAGCATTCCTGCACACCTACATAGGAAAAATGATTTGGAAAATAAAGGAATGTTTTTTTTTTATGAATATATCATACTGGTATAATGTTTTAAGAATTACTTGATGTTTTGTTCCTCAGATATTCTCACATCTTGGTTGAAATCCTCTGTGGGATGTGATTGCAAGGTTTCTTTAAAAGCTCTGAGCTGTGATGAAACTCTCCGTTCATTGACAACTCTGTGATGAAAGACTAGGAATTATAGAAAAAAAGGCTTTATTATTCCCAAGAGAGATAGAAAACAGTCTGTATGAACTACTATTGATGAATTCTCTGCACTCACCCAGGTCATATGTATGCAAGTAAGGTTTATTGTATGAGACAACAGGATATGAGAGATTTAGGATCAGATAACAGAATCCAAAACTCAATTAAACTTTCTCTATGTCTGCCTGTTTCTCTCTATGTTGTAATAGGGCAACCTCAGGATAATTCTCCCCAAATACCAACTGTAAACATTCACATACACACACAAGCTGATCTTCACTGTCTAAATATTAATCTGAAATCTGCATTTCCAGTAGAAGGTTGCACGCTAATCCATATGTCGTATTTTTATACAGATTTTGTGCTAGTTATAGAGGAATCAGAAAACAAACCAATAACTATTCTCAATGTCACAATGCTTTATGCTTGCTTTTTTCAAGCATATACAGAATGAAATATGTTAGCAATAAGGTAAACACAATAATACTTTTTTTTGGCCCCTGCACTGTTCTTTGAAAATGAAATCTCCTGCAATCTAAAATACCAATTTCCTGTCTCCATTTTTGTCTCTTCTAGGCCATGAGCTACCATTCTTCATCCTGCATCACTCCCTGAGAAGTCAACAAGACCATCTGCACATGCCCAGTGAGCCCCTGCAGGAGGTGTTTAGTTCTGGCCAGCAGACAGAGGCCACTCCCAAGACCCCTCACTTCACCCTAAAACCCAGAACACATACTCCTAGGGGTGAGTGCATTTGTCACCAAAATAATGCATGTGGCTAGCTCAATAAAACTTTATAATTTCATCAAATGTGTAGTAAGACTAGTGCCTTTCGTGAGGGTCTGTTATCTATGGGGTTCTCGAAAGTATGTGGCTGTCCAAAGGCCACTAGTAGTAACAAAATCTACTTACTTTTGCTGCACCTTATCTGCTCAAGAGAAATTTGTGGAATTTGTGGAGCTGTGAGTACTGTACTGTTATTGGTAGTTGAAGGCTAAATGTTTTTTACATTAGAAGGGACAGGGGACATGTGGACCTTTGTGATTTGAACTGCTGAACTTTCTGCTGAGGTCTGCAGGTGCAGATTCGGTGTGTAATAGTAGTGAGAGGCTGGGCAAACTGACACATAGCCTGTATCTTACAAACTTACAAAAAGTTTCATGAGTCGAAATTCCATTCTCATAGATGCTTACTTCTTTTGTTTATTATTTTGTTTATATTACACTTAGATATAAGCCGTAGGTCACTAACAAGCTACACAATATTGCGTTCTTAAATGGCAATGAATCACCTGCGATTTTGAAAGCGATATTGTGTAGCTTGTCAGTGAACTACGGCTCTGTGTAGTAAATGCCGCTCCATCTGAAAGCACGTGCTGGACATTTACTACTAATCACAGAACCGGCTTTACTGATGAGATGAGCATGAAAATCACATTTGATTATTTGCACAGCTCTAATATATATTG